CCCTTCTCATTTATAAAAGATCTATCTCTCTGTTTCCTATTATCTGTTTTTATTTTGCTTTTTATGTATTTATACTTCTAGTTTCTCATATAAGCAAAACCATACGCTATAAGCTTGTCTCTGATTTATTTCACTTAATGTGGTTTCAAGTACACCATTTTCCTACAAATGAATCAAATTTGTCATTATTTATGGCAGGGTAGAACTCTATTGTGTATAAATACTGTATTTTTTATCCATTCATATGTTGACGGATATATAGACTGCTTCCAAGATTTAACTACTATGAAATGTGCTGCTATAAACACAAATATGCATTATCACTATAATATGATGTGTTTGACTCTTTTAGGAAAATGATGCCTAGAAGGAAAATAGCTGGGTCAAATGGAATTTCCAGTTTTAGTTACTTGAGGAATCTCCATACTGATTTCCATAGTGATTGTACCAAATTACACTCCCATCAACAATTTAAAAAAAAAAATGTTCATTTTCTCCCACAGCTTTTCCAGCATTTATTATTATTTGGTTTCTTAAAGATAGCAATTTTTTCTGGAGTGAAATGGAATTTCAGTGTTATTTTAGTTTGCATTTTTCAAGTAGACACTTTTGTTGAAATTTTTCTATGTACTTATTGGCCATTTTTACTTCATCTGAAAAGTATATTCATTTCAGATGCCCATTTTTAAAATTCAGGGTTGTCTAATTTTTTTTCTTTAGTTCTTTATATATTCTAGATTTTAGTCTTCTGTCTGATTAGTAGCTGGCAATAATTTTTGACCCATTCTTTAGTTTGTCTCTTCAGTCTTTTGGTGGTTTCCTTTGCTGTGCAGCTTTTAAATTTGATATGACCCCATCAGTTGATTTTTGGTATCACTTTGTGTGCAACCAGAGTTTCTGTCCAGAAAGTCTTTGCCTATGTCTTAAAACTTTTGTTCCTATTTTGTCTTCTAGCATATTGTGTTTCTGTTTTAATATTTGGATCTTTGATCCATTTTGATTTTAATTTAGTGCATGGTGAGAAACACGCGTCTAGGTTCAATCTTCAGCATATGGATAGTCGGTTTTCTTAGCACCATCAAAAAGGCTGCCTTTTCTCCACTGAAGTATTTGACTTCTTTGTCAAAGATAAGGTAGTGAATGAGCCTAGTGTTGTTTCTACATCTTCTATTCTGTTTCATTAATCCACAAATCTGTGTGTTTTGTTTTGTCCATACCATATTACTATCACTGTAGCTTTATGGTGTAACTTGGAATCTGCCTTGTCTTTTTTACCTAAAATGGCTTTCACCATTGTAGGTCCCTTCTGGTTCCATATAATTTTAGAATTGCTTTCTCTAGTTCTGTGAGGAATGCTGTTGGGATTTTGGTTGGAATTGTATTAAATCAGTGTAGCAGTTTTGGAAATGTGGTTGTTTTGGCTGCCCTGGTTCTCTCTACCCAGGAATAGGGGATATATTTCCATTTTCTGATTTATCTTGGTTTTTAAATTTATTTTTTGTTGGGGCTGGTGAGATGGCTCAGTGGTCTAAAGCACCTATTTAGAACAAGCTTAGCAAATCACAGGGACCTCGGTTCAATCCCCCAGCACCACATGCCAGCCAGCGCCGCCCCCTGGTGGCCTGAGCTGGCCACACACACACACACACACACACACACACACACAAATAAAAATTTTTTTAATTAAATAAATAAATAAATAAATAAATTTATTTTTTGTAGTACCATAAGGCTGAAATTCCAGAGTGCTCTAACACTAAGCTCTATCCCCAGCCATTTAAAGTTTTTAAAAAGTTTTATGACAGGGTTTTGTTAAGCACCCAAGCTGACCCTGAATTTGTAATCCTGCCTCTGCCTCCCAAGGAGTTAAGATTACTGACATATGCCACTACTTAGCTGATTCTGGGTTTGGTTTTCATTTCTTGTGATTAATGATGCTGAGCACATTTTTATGTTTTCATTGGCAGTTTGTATATCTTCTTTTTTAAATTTTTTTTTTTTGGTTTATTTATTTATTTATTTAGTGTGTGTGGCCAGCTCAGCCCACCAGGGGGCGGGGCTGGCTGGCATGTGGTGCTGGGGGATTGAACCACAGTCCCTGTGCTTTGCTTAGCTTAGCTTAGCTTGTTCTAAGTAGGTGCTTTAGACCACTAAGCCATCTCACCAGCCCCAGTTTGTATATCTTCTTTGGAGAAATATCTGTCCAACTCCTTTGCCTGTATATACATATATGTGTGTGTTTATATAATGTATATTCATATTTATATATAAATATCCATTTATATAAATAAATATGCATATATAAAACATTTATATATAAATATATGTTCATATATAAAATATATATATATATATTTTATGGGGGCCTGGCCCTAGCTCAGGCCTTTAAGTGGCTGCTTCCACAAAGCTGTCAGCCTCAGGTTGCTGGAGTTCGAACCTCACAACTCTCCCGCTGGCCAAAAGTGCCCTGAAGGCATTCGAGGAACCAATATATATATATATAAATGTATTGGGCTGAGGGTCTTACTATGCAGCTCCAACTCAGAGTGATCCTCCTGTTTTCAGCCTCCACCATGTCCAAATCCCATGGCCGGCTCAGCCCACCCAGGTGTGGGGCCAGTGTGGCACACATTAACAAGGATCCCCCTGTGTTTTCCTAAGCAGGCACTTAGTCTGCTGAGCTATCTTGCCAGCCCTGCCAGTTTTTAATTATGTTTTTCTCTGTTGTTGATTTTGAAGAGTTTTTTATATATTATATATATTCTAGGTATTAGACCCTTATCACATGGCTGATTTTCAAGTATTTTCTCCCTTGTGGCACCTGTGGCTGTATTTTCTTAATCATGTCCTTTTTGTTTTTGTTTTTGTTTTTTTGTTTTGGGTTTTTTTTTTTTTTTGGCAGAACTGGGGATTGAACTCAGCCCCTTGCGCTTGCCAGGGAAGCACTTATTCTACTGAGCCACCTCCCTGGCCCAATCATGTCCTTTTTGTATAAAGGTTTTTAATTTTCATGAATTCCAACCTACATATTTTTCTTTTGTTGTTCATGCTTTTGGTATTGATGCTAATTATTTGCTGAGATAGGATGGTAGAAATATTGTAAAACTTGTATTGACCTTTTAAAACTTTAGTTTCATACATATGGATAGTATATTTTGATCATACTGTCTTTGTATTTCCCTTACTCCCTCCCTGCTATCCCCTTCCTCTTCTCTGGTAATAGTGTCCCTTGTACTTTCATGTCATCTTTATTTTTAGATTCCATATATTAAAGAAAGCATGCGATACTTTCTTAATCATTTATTTAGCTTATTAAACATGATGATTTCCAGTTCCATTTTCTTCTTTATAGTTGAATAATAGTCTATTGTGTATATGCTCCATTTTCTCTGTTCATTCATCTCTTGATGGGCATCTAGATGTGTTTCACATGGAAGTGGAAGTTCTGATTTTAGGTTTTTTTAGTAATGGTAATGCTGATTTGCATAGAGGCTATAGTAATTTACATCACAGCAATAGTGTAGGTGTGATCCTTTTTACCACATCCTCACCAGCACTTGTTATATTTTGTATTCTTGATGATAACCATTCAGATTGGGGTGAGATAGAGTCTGAGTGTAGTGTTGACTTGGATTTTCCCCATAGCTGAAGATGTTGAACATTTTAAAAAATATTTGTTGGCCATTTATATTTAATTTGTCCATTTATTAATTGGACTTTTTAATATTTGGATTTTTTTTTTTTGAAACAGGGTTGTACTAAGTTGCCCAGGCTGGGCTGGACTTGAACTTGTAATCCTTTAGCCTCAGCCTCTTTTGATATTAAATTTTTAAAAGTATATGTATATTGTAGATGTTGAACCTCTGACGAATAGCTGGCAAAGGTTTTCTCCTATTCAGTACCCTGTTTCTTCACTGTTTTTGTTTGTTTGTTTGCTATATGAAACTTTTTGATTTGATGATCGAAAAGTTGCTATTATTTCCTGAATTATTGGAGTCCTGTTCAGAAAGTCTTTGCCTCTGTGTTTGACTTCAAGTGTTTTTCCAGTATTTCCTTTTAGGAGTTTCAAAGTTTCATGTCTGCATCCTAGGACTTTGATCCTTTTTGAGATGAGTTTTCTATAGGGTAAAAGGGATGTAGTTTTAATCTTTTACATACGGATATCCACTTCTGCATATCTATATATGGATCTCCACTTTTCTTAGCACCATTTGTTAAAAGAGGCTATCTCTTCTCTAGTATGTTCTTATTGGTCTACATGTCTATTTTTGTGCAAGAACCATGCTGTTTTTGTTTTTTTCTAAATCATGCTGTTTTTGTAACTGGCAAATCCCACAGCTATTCATCCATTAATGAGTATTGGGGCTATTTCTAACATTTAGCTACTACAAGTTATGCTTCAATAAACACGGGTGTGCATACCTGAAAAAAATAAAATCAGGTACTGTGCTGCCTCCAGTGTTGCTCTTTTTGCTTAAAATGGTTTTGCTATTTGTGTTTCTGTGTGAATTTGAAGATTTTTTTTCCTACTTTTCTGAAGAGTGTCATTGGATTTTGGATGGGGCTAGCATTGAATCTGTATGTCACTTTTGGTAATATGACTATTTTAACTGTATTAATTCTGTTGATTTACAACATGGAGATCTTGTCATCTTCTAGTTTCTTCTTCAGTTCCTTATTCAATATTCTGTAATTTTCATTATAAAATTCTCTCACTTCCTTAGTTAGGTTGATTCTTAGGTATTTTTTATATAATCATAAATGAAATTATTTTCTTGATTTCTTTTCTTAGCTAGTTCATCATTGATGTACAGAAAAACTATTAATTTCTTTATATGCATGCATGTGTGTTTGTGTGTGATATTCCTGAATCTAGGAACTTCCCACTGAGAACTACCCTAACTACTTTGATCCCTGTGGGAAGCATAAGGGAGTTGGTATTCTTTGTGTTTTAAAACATCATTGTGTTTACCCTGTGTCATAAAAAGTCATATTTAATACCAATTGAATAATTTCTAGCAGAACAATAAGAGAAAGTTTTAGCCTTTTTTTTTCTGAATGATTCAAGGCTAGTTCTGCTATCTATATTTAACTTCTCTGTTTTTGCTTCCACGTCTGCAAAATGTGGATACATTAGTTGGGCCTCAAGAAGTTATTTTAAAATTCCATAATCGACTGGGGATATAGCTCAGTGGCACAGTGCCTGCTTGGTGAGTGCGAGGTTGTGAGTTAGATTCCTGGAACCAATAAAATAAAACTCCATAATCTTTTTTTCATAATCTCTAAAATGTCTGAATTTTACTGAAAAAGCTAATTGTTTACTTCTGTAAACAGTTGTTTGCCTGTATACTTCTGGTTTTAGTTCTGACAAGTTAAATTATACTGGTGAATTCCCAAGATCTTTTTTAAGTTAAGGCAACCTATAAGCATCATGTGTTGGTATTGTTTCAAGTATGAACTTTGATTTTTATTGAGGAAATTAGTTTATTTTTTCTTTCTTTTTTTTTTATGGTGCTGAGGATTGAACTAGAAAATGCTGTACCACTCAGCTGCACACTGAGCCCCTATTTTGGATTTGTATTGAAGCCAGACTTAGCAAATTTTGTTGATTTCTCTGACAGTATTGTGAAAGAGATTATGTTTACTAATCTCTTTTGAAAGAGGTAACATGATACATTTTGCTCCTTTCCCTTGTAGGTTCTTTGGTGGTTAATTATCCTTTTGATGATGATGAGCAAGGACTTGTCTTATATAGTAAATCACCAGATGACGCCGTGTTCCAACAAGTAGCACTTTCTTATTCCAAGGTAGGCTTATGCTTGAACATCAGATACTATAAAATTAATTCATTTAGGAATGCCTTAAAAGAAAGTCCTGAAACACATAGGCAATTGTAAATGTTCCGTGACTATTTCATTGAGCCTTTAGGCTTTTTCGCTTCTTTTTCCTCACATCATTTTTAAACATACTAAATATCTTTCTCCATTATTCCCTAAGCTCAGTTAATGTCTTTTTATCTGTGGTTTTTAGCACCCTACCTGGAATATGTGCATTATAGTTTATTTAACAAAATCTCTAAACTATAAGCTTAGTAAATAGGCTAGAGGAATAGGATTGACAAACTATTTATACCTCCAAATCTTGCCCACCACTTGTTTTTTATAAATCACATTTTACTGACATACAGCCACAGCCATACTTTTACAGATCATCTATGACTGTTTTCTCTTTCAGCATTTAAAAACAAGTCTGTGTAATTTACCATATTAACAAACTAAAGAACGACATTACAGTCACCTTAATAACTGCAAAAAGTAGAATTAAGTAGTTGTAAGACTTTTAAGTCTATAAGACCTAGTATTTTTATTATTTGGCCCTTTACAGAAAAAACATTGTTGCTGGGTATGCTGGCACATACCAGTAATCTCAGCACTTGGGCTACTGAGGCAGAAGATTCACTGAGTTCAAGGCTAGCCTGGTCTACATAGCAAGATGCTATCTCAAAAAAACAAAAAAGAGAAAAACCTGTCAATGAGTGGTTTAAGGTATTTAAAAATCTTATAGTAATATGCAGTAAGGGAAATCAGGCAGAAGTTTCTGTGTTTTCTCAACATCCTATAAGGAACATTGATTACTTTTTAAATCAGAAATGTTAAAATTTGTATGTGAAAATTTCATTTAAAAATTATTCTTAGAAAATGTTATAGTCATGCATGTAGTCTTAGAAAAGCCAAATACAGTGATGACTATACAATAATCGGTCTCCCAGAATTTTTCCCCAAATGATACAAAATGACTTTACAACTACCAAAACACTACTATCTACTAAATACTACAAAAAGATATTGAAGGGGCCAGGGAGATAATTTAGTGGCATGGACACCTGTCTGGCAAACACAAGGTCCCAAGTTCAATCCCCATTACCAAAAAAAAAAAAAAAAAACAGATATTAAAACTACAAAATAACTGAGCTTTTTTAAAAAATTGAGACAACTCAGCATAATTAGTCACTTATCCCACTTTCACCCTACTGTGAGACTTAATGATGAGGAAAAGAATCAAGGTGCAATATGTATATGTACCAATTCCCTCACAGTGAGTATATTTATTGTGCGTTATAAATATGTACTGATAAAAAGGGGAGGTATAAAAATACTAGGAAAAGAAATTTTATACACATCACTAAGATAACTCTCTCACCAATAAGAAACAATCCAAAGGAAATTAGAAGTTTATTCCCCAAACATTAAATATACAACCAGGGAGGAGCTGGCAAGATAGCTCAGTGGACTAAAGTGCCTGCTTTGGGGGCCAGGGAGATGGCTCAGTAGAGTAAGTGCTTCCCTGGCAAGTGCAAGGGTCTCAGTTTAATCCCCAATCATGCAAAAAAATAAATAAATAAAGTCCCTGCTTAGGCAAGCTTAGGCAAGCACAGGGACCAAGGTTCTGTCCCCGGCACCACATGCCATACCAGCCCTGCCCCCAGGGTGGGCTGAGCCAGCCAGAGTCCAGGCGTAGTGGCTCATGCCTGTAATCCCAGGGCTGAGGAAGCTGAAAGCAGGAGGATCACTATGAGTCCAAGCTGTGTAATAAGACCCTGCAACAACCAAATACATTAAAAATAAGTAAATAAATAAATAAAATTAATAAATATAGAACCAAGGAGAAATAGAAAGTTGATAATGTCTGGTATATGTATCAATCTTTTTTGTCATTTCTATTTTTGATGTAATATCTAGAAAATAAAGGTCACAAAGATTTATGGCCTGTAACAGTCTTTAAGTTATAATAGTGTTAGCTTATGCATTTAGGTTTATGATCCATCATGAGCTGGTTTGCAGGTATAGTATAAGGAAGAAAGTACATAAATTCATTCTTTTACATGTACATGTTTACTTGCCTCTATATCATTTTTGAAGATTATTATGTTCCCATTGAACTGGATTGGCATCATTGTCAAAATGCAGTTATCACAATGGCACAAAGCCATTAATGTACTTCCTATCACCCTTTAGAATTCTTCAGACTCCTTCAGTGCTCTAAGAAGCAAGTCAGAGTGTTAGTAGTTATGACCTAGAACTGTGCTATCCTACAGTGGAATACCGTGGATGATATATTAAGATGGAAGAAGAGTGTTAGAAATTCTGTTTACATTTTTAAATGTATCCTTTAATTTTTATGCACATTTATAAAATACATTAGTCCAATAGTAGATTAGTACATCTATATAATTTAAAATTAAGTGGATAGGGGCCGGGGAGATGGCTCAGTGGAATAAGCGCTTCCCTGGCAAGCGCAAGGGCCTGAGTTCAATCCCCGGTTCGAAAAAAATAAAATAAAATAAAATTAAGTGGATGGATAAGTAGCCATTGATGAAAGTAGAGATGCAGACTGTTATAAATACTATGCTATAAGCCTTTCATGGAAATCCAAAAGCTAACATGTGTACAATTACTGTAGTGATCTAATTCATATGGCTGGGAACGTAGCTCAGTGGTACAGGCTTACCTTGCGTGCACAAGGCCCTTGGTTCAATCCCTAGTACCAGGGGAAAAAATGATAACTTTTAGAGTTTGACTCATTTAGTCTTTATTACAACCCTAGGGCAGTCCTATTGCTATTTCTACTTTTTAGATGAGAAAATTTAAACTCAGATATGTTAATTGCCTAAGGTTAAGAAAGAGACAAAGTTGGGATTCAAGGCCAAGTGGTCTGGGAGATCTTTTGTAAATGAGACGGGAACCAAGAGATTAAAGAAGGGGGAGGAAGAAAAAGGGAAGAGGATGTCATAAAAAGTAAGATGTATTAGGTACATGGACCATATCCCCATGATGAATGTAATCATTGTGTACTACAGACATGTACTAATGAAAGAAAAAATTTTAAAAAGACTACTTAGGTGGTTTGACACAAAATTCTATTCAGCTGGTATGTTATTTAGCTTGTCATTATGACTATGCAATAAAGACCAAAGGAAGGGTAAGCAAGAAATAAGCTTTTTTTTTTTTTTTTTTTTTTTTTTTTTTTTTTTTGTGGTCACCTGAGCCCACCCTGAGGACAGGACTGGCATGGCATGTAGTGCCAGGTATTGGACCGGGGTCCCTGCACGCTGCCCTAAGCTTGCGTAAGCAAGCTCTGTAGACCACTGAGCTATCTCACCAGCCCAAAAAATAAGTTTTAAGGAAGACTAGAGTAGTACAATTTTTTAACCATTCTATACTTTTTATTGTAATATTTACTGTTTCTGTCAGCACACAAAAATAAATTACTTGCTTTACTGTGTAACAGTGAAATATCAATACTGCTGCCCTCCAATAAAGAATTATTATTTTTTTAAAATGACTTATTTTAAGTGTGCTTTTTATTATAATCGTAGCCTTTAATTAGTATATTAAGTTTCTGGAAAGGGGTTGTTCATCTATTTTAAAGTTAAATGGTTAATTGTCAGAAGTGGTGGGAAAATGAAAAACTGTTAACTTTTCTTTTTTTGGCAGAACCAGAGATTGAACTCAGACCCTTGCATTTGCGGGAAGCGCTTATTCTACTGAGCCATCTATCTCCCCAGCGCCTCTGTTAACTTTTCATACTTTTCTGATTTTTTTCTATTTCCAAGAGAGAAATTAAATTTTGACCATTTGTCCTATTTCGGTTTCCCCAGGCACTCTAGTCAGAAGTAATCTCTATCTCTTCTGGATTCCAATAGCACTTATTTGTGCCTCTGTGGCAGTTTTTCTTACCTTCATTGAGTAAGCGATTGTACATGTGCTGTATGCCAGACACTGGGCTGGATGTTTGAGGACACAGAGATGCAAAAAAAGAATATTGCCTTGGTGGACAGAAAAGGGGCAATCACTTGGAAAAGGACATTTGTTGTATATTGTACAGAGTACAGGGGACCCATTGTAGCACCTAGATGTCAGGGGAAGCTGCTACTCCATACTGTATGTTATATTACTTTTTCTAGACTTTAAGCTCACTGAAATTATGAAATGAATGTGTGAATATGAGCTGGGGTTTTTAGAGACTTTGTGCTGGACTTTATATTTCTTATAATTGCAAGTAACACATGAAGCCTTACAAATTGTTTAATAAAGCACATTTAATTTTAATTTTACAAATAAGTTCACATAGTGAAGATCCAAATGGCATTTTAAAAAGAACTTACAATGAAGTCTCACTGATTCCTATGGACCCATTCAATTCTTCCCTCTCATCCACCCCTCACATTCACTATTGCAACCATTTTTGTTATTTTCCTGTATCTTTCCAATATTTTTTCATGTAGTACAAACAAAAGAATCTTTTTTTGATTTTCCAGGAAAATTCCCAGATGTTTCAAGGTAGACCTTGCAAGAATATGTACCCTAATGAATATTTCCCTCATGGCATAACAAATGGAGCTAATTGGTATAATGTCCCAGGTAAAAATTTTCAAGTCCTTACAATTTGATGGGTTTTTTGCTCTCCTGGACAGTGCTTCTTGTCACTAATCTTTTTTGTTTTGTTTTGTTTTGTTTAATTTGAAGAAAGGACCATTCCTTTAAAAAAAATTGTTTAAATAGCTTAAGACATTCAAATAACCTTTTTAACTAATTTGCTTTTTGAGTAAAAATAATATATTACCAGTTCCTAATAAGTGTAACATTTTCCTTAATGTGCCCATAGGAAAATGTAGACTACACCTGAATACTATTTGAACATATAAGTACATATTTAGCCTGGACAACAAGTATCACACAGCCTTCCCAAGAATGCATTTTATTATTTTTTTAACCAATTCTGGTCCAAGATAAATTTGACTTTTTACTAAGAATGCTTCCTATCTTGTAGGATCTGAATATTAAAACATCTTATAATGACTAAATTTTCTGTCCTTTAGGTGGTATGCAGGACTGGAACTATTTACAAACAAATTGCTTTGAAGTAACTATTGAACTAGGTTGTGTGAAATATCCATTTGAGAAAGATCTGCCGAAGTTTTGGGAACAGAATCGAAGATCTTTAATCCAGTTTATAAAACAGGTGACTATGTAGGAGTGAAGTATGATTTTGTCCAAGAGCAAGATTTTTGTGTATGATTTTAGAATAGACCCTTTTAAATTCCAGTTTGTTTTAGTTTACCCAGTTTGTATTCCAATTTGTTTAGTATATTTATCTAGAAAATTTATGGATGCTACTGAATTTATCTGAATGTACCAAAAAGAGTTAAAGAAAATAATTAAACAAGTTAGTAACATTTTGCGCTTAATGGTTACTGGTCACTTTTTATCTTCTCTTTATAAAAAGTACTAAGCATAAATTAGCTACATCCCTAAACTTGTCAGGCGATAGAAAGATGAGCTTTGAGGTAAATGATTTTATTCTTTTTCTTACTGCCAGGGGTCATGGTGAGACATTTAATTTCCTTTTATTTGTATATACATGGTGACCTATAGGTGAAGCTCTAAGAAATATGCTAATGGTTATTTAGTATAATCTGACTAATAAAACTTCATACATGTCTGCTGTTATTGTTTTCGTAAGTAGTATGGGATAGTTTTTGGGTCTGTACTAATACTTAAAATCATTTTATTCTGGAAAAAATTAAACATAAAGAAGTTTTAAGACTAGCACAATAAAGGAAACACTCTTATTCCTACACCGAGGTTTGACAGGGTTGGGTTTTTTTTGTTTTTTTTTTTTATAGTTTTTAACATTGTTTGCTTTATTTATATGAAACATATACACAAACAATGCACATTTTTGGCTGAACTATTTTAATGTAAGTTTGAGGTGTTAAGATGTCTTACCCCAAAATATTTTAGCATCTATCTCCTAAAAATATTTTTTTCCTCTGTTATCTCCAAATGCCATTATCTCACCTGAGAAAGTTAACAGTAATTCTCAATTATTATTTAACACCTAGTCTATATTAAAGTTTTCACATGTGTTCCCAAAATGTAATTTTATGACTGTATTTTAGAACAGGATCCAGTCAAATTTTGTGCATTGCATTTGATTATTATATCTCTATATAATCTGCCGGGGTATTTTTCCTGCCTTTTTTTTTTTAAATGACATTTTCTTTTGGAAAAGGCCAGTTTTCTTATAGAGTATCCTGTATCCTGAAATAGGTAGAATAACCCAAAGTTTATTATTTTACCCTTTGTGATAAAGGCAAACCAAGACTATGAAAACTTAAGTCTTTAGACACTAAAACTTTTAGTGAGTATTTGTATATAGCTTTATTCTAAACTAAATTCCTGTTTCGTTAGTTTACATTTTAACCATCTTTCGTTTTGGATGTGAACTCTCAATTAGATGATGATCTTTACCGTTAAAATCTGGTGTTTTGTCCTTTATTCAGGTTCATCAGGGTGTCAAAGGATTTGTCCTTGATGCTACCGATGGCAGGGGTATATTAAATGCCACCATTAGTGTTGCTGAAATTAATCATCCAGTGACTACTTATAAAACTGGAGATTACTGGCGTCTCTTAGTTCCAGGAACTTATAAAATCACAGCATCTGCTCGAGGGTGAGTGATAAGTGCTTTAGAAATACATACTGAGGATAAAACAAACATGGCACAATTCTGCAAGATTACTTCAGAAAGTTCTAGAGAGCCTGCTAAGCAACCTGGAGTTTGATGCTGGGACATTTATAATTTGTTTCATTCTCCTCTAATGGAAAATTAGAGTGTGCAAAATGTCAGATGTAAGAAATCTATGCACCTTCACCTTTCTCTGCTCTGCTTACCAAATCCTTATTGAGATACAAATCCCATAGTGAGCAGTTTCCTTCTGGTAAGTATCTATTAATTGAAAAAAGAAGCTATTCTTGTTCTGCCATGTGCTCTAGTCACAGCGTCCAGTAGGTGCCACTGTGTTACATAACACATACATATCTTCAGAGCCTTTTAAAGCTGTACATTTTTTTTAGTGTTGTACATTTACTGTTGCTTCAGAGTAGGGCATTTTCATCTTTTATAAAGGTTTTATTCCCAAAGATTTATTTATTAAGCTTTTCTGCTGGCCTCAAACTCCTGAACTTCAGTAGTCCTCCCTCTAGTCTCCCAAGTTAGCTGGGACTAAAGGTTAATGCCATGGCTTCCAACTTATTTTTATTCATTAAAGAAAAGAGGGAGAATGGGTCAGGCATAGTGACACATACCTGTAATCTCAGTACTTAGGAAAATAAGGAAGAAGGATCATGAGTTTGTTGTCAACCTAAGCTACATAGAGAGTTAAAGGCTGGGTGGTTGGTTGGTTGGTTTTGTTGTTTTTATATTTAGTACAGGGTCTTTAGGGTCTCACCACACAGATCAGCCTCGAAGTGATTCCCCTGTTTTCAGCCTCCCAAGTGCTGGGATTACAGGTGCACACCACCATACCCAGTCTCTCATTCTCCATCTCAGCATGTCCCGGGGCGGGGCTGGCAGGGCACTCCAGGGATCTGCCTAAGCAGGCACTTTAGTCTGCTGAGCTATCTGGCCGGCCCTGGTTTTGTTTTTTGAGACAAGGTTTCACTATGTAGTTCAGTCTGGCCTGGAACTCACTGTGTAGGTCAGGCTGGCCTCTAACTGGTGGCAATCCTGCTTCTACCTCCCCAGGCCTGGGATTACAGGTATTGGGTCACCATGCCCAGCTATGTTGTTATCTCTTTTTTTTGTAAGGCTTTCAAATATCTTATGGTTTATAAATAGAGGGGTTAGAACCTCACCACTTAGTAACAGAGTCTTTTCTTTGGTCTATTTTGGAGCCTTTTAAAGCTCTACATTTTTTTTAGTGTTGTACATTTACTATTGCTATAGTAAATACTATGGCCAGCAAAAAAGCTTAATAAATAAATCTTTGGGAATACTGTATCACATAAATAAAAGCAGCAGGGGATCTGAAGTAGGTCAAGAGTAATGTGTTTGGGAATGAATGTCCTAAGTTGGTACCTCTCAAACTTTCCCATCCACATACCCTAATGGCAGACAAGTGAATTCAGATTCCAGCAGACATGAGGTATTTACTGCAAGCACAAACTTTCATTTGAAATCATATTTTTAATTTTAAAAATTCAGAACCAAGGAGATAGCTCAGTAGAATAAGCGCTTGCCTGGCAAGTGTGAGGGCCTGAGTTCAATCCCCGGTTCCACCAAAAAATAAATAAATAAATAAATAAAAAGTTCATTCCTATTTTACATGTACCTATTTCTCTTTGTTGATTAATGTTTTAAAACATTGTAAATTACCTCAAGGTCGAAAACATGATTTTATAAGAAGATACACTACATTTATTCAGAAGATTCATGTATGGGATCACTATGAGTCCAAGCTGCATAGTGAGACCCTGTACCAAATATATAAATGAAAAAAAAAAAATACTCTTCTCCAGGGCCAGCAAGATAGCTCAGTGGATTAAGCGCCTGCTTTGGCAAGCGCGGGGATTGGAGTTCCACCCCCAGTCCCACATGCCACACTGGCCCTGCCAGCTGAGCTGGAGACTGAGTCCGGGTGTGATGGTACACGCCTATACTCCCAGCACTGGGGAGGCTGAAAACAGGAGGATCACTACAAGACCAACCTGCGTAGTGAGACCTTGTACCAAATACATAAATGGAGATTAAAAAGAATTCATATATCCTCTATTTCCCAATATAGTACTCGTGTACTTCAGCTGAAAAGTGTACCTCTGATCTTTCTGCTTCATTATAGGTATAACCCAGTTACCAAGAATGTAACTGTCAAGAGTGAAGGTGCTATTCAGGTCAACTTCACACTTGTTCGATCATCAGCGGATGCAAATAATGAATCTAAAAAAGGAAAGGGGGATAGCACCAGCACTGATGATACCAGTGACCCAACTACTAAGGAGTTTGAAGCTTTAATTAAAGACCTTTCAGCTGAGAATGGCTTGGAAGGCATCATGTTAAGCTCCTCCTCAAACCTGGCTCTTTATCGATACCATTCATATAAAGACCTATCAGAATTTTTGAGAGGACTTGTAATGAACTATCCACTTATTACAAATCTTACCACGTAAGTGTCACCTTCTTTCTGTCTTTTCTTTTTTTGTCCTTAAAACAGTTTATTCAACATCAGCCATGTTGAATAGGGTCTTACTATGAGGTATGTGTTTGGGACCTGAAGGTACAGAGTTGGAGTTTACTTCTTTTGCAATAGATATCTAGTTGGAGGTATTCCTAACAATGAATCTCAGAAACTTTTATGGGGTATCCTGGAGGAGAATTATTTGTTAAATTAGCAATGTACAGTCTGAGCCCTTGTGAAATGTAAAATTACTCTGGGTAGCCACTTACTCTGGCTGAATATCAACATGACTTTCTACTTTGCAGCTGCCGATTCATGTTCTGACTACATATTGCTTAGTTTTATTTTGATGATGGCAAGGAAAGGATATGGAACTGTGAGTTTATCAGGGATCAGGTGTAAGATTTTTTTCAGATTAAAAAATGAATCCTGGTTGCTGTCATTTTTTGTACTCTATTCATATCTCTGTTACCCAAGGCTCTAGGAATATGCTTGAGGTCCCTGGAAAAACATGTAATATACTGGCTTGTGTAAAACTGATGGTTCAGCCAGGCGTTTTCTTCACTTTCTGGAGTTTCTCTGCCTCACTTTCCTTGTTTCTTTAGAAGTCTTCTTTAAGTCTTGTTAGTTGCTCCAAAATTGTTTCCATGATTAGTTTATTCTTAAGGTTTGCATATTGTAGCTAAGGTCTTGACATTTTCCCTTAAGTTTATAGTTTTGTTCTGCATGTCTAATGAACATGGTGTGCCCTTTTACCTTTTTACTTTATCTTTCTTCATTGGTCCTCTTAATTTATCAGAAAATTTAGCTCCTTAAATTCTTTTTTTCTAGCTTCTTAAATTCTGATTTATACTTTTTATAGATGCAAAGAGTGACATTTACTTTGGTGATACAAATTACTTCCTTTCCTTATTTGATTCTTTAATCAGCTGATTCTACCTTATTCAGATTTCAGAATCATTCATCTTACAGAATTTTAGTATCGTCAGGAATAATTTTTTATTAATCTTTTTCAATGCTAATCTATTTTTTCTGTCTAACTGTACTGAATCTCTCCTTACATTTAAGAAAGCATACCTTAGGCCCAGAGCTCTCATGGGCAAACAGAACATTTGACCTTTTTTTGGTATGTTTTCAATGAATTATTTTTGCTGCAAAACTAATATTGCACTTAAAATATTGTCTCATTTATCTAGGTTTAAATTTTAAAAAGAAAGTTATATGTAAACATTTCCATAATAAAAATTTAAGTGAAAAAAATTGAGTTCGTTTTAAAAACAGAGACTATTTATCATGTACAGGTATAAATTCTCTATGGTGAAGGCGATCATTATATATATCTAACATGTACCAATACAATCTGATTTTTAAAAAAAGAGTATAAAAAAATACTGTGAAGATGGTATGAAAAGGACTGAATTTGGAGAAATGCTGAACTAAATCATAATATTTCCTAAATCTGATAATAGTTTACTTCTATTTGGCTTTTTTTTTTTTTTTTTTTTTTGGTCGAGGGAAACAAAAGGTTTTCTGATGTAAGGATTTATTCTGGTGATTATGTTTTGTGTTCATTTTTATTTTTAAAATCTATAATTCAAAGTTAACACAGTGCTTAATTATTTGTTGACTTTTTGTTTCTGGCCTTTGAAAGTTTGGGACAGAGTGCTGAATATCGTCACATTTGGTCCCTTGAAATCTCCAATAAGCCCAACATATCTGAGCCGGAGGAACCGAAGATTCGTTTTGTTGCTGGTATCCATGGAAATGCTCCAGTTGGAACTGAACTGCTTTTGGCTCTCGCAGAATTTCTCTGCCTAAACTACAGAAAGAACCCAGCTGTTACCCAAGTAAGAGAATAGCCTGCTTTGACATGTTTTAAAAGGAAAAAGCTCTATGATACGTTGATATCAGGGAACCATTTAAAAAATTTTAAGTCTCTTTTTAGATTTTTACACAGAAGCACTTTTGGTATATTACAAATGTTGCTCTTGAAAAAGGAACAATTTTTATATGTACTCATTGTTAATAGTGCCTTTTATTGTATTTCTGTGTGTATATGAAGAGACATACAGAAAAAATAAAGGTTTTTATTTAACTCTTTACTCCTTTACTTAAGCAAAATTACCTTTCATTTTTTAATATAAAATTTTTTATTGGTACATCTATGGAGTATATGATTACATTTATCAAGGGGAGTTTGTACATGTATGTAACACATCTTTTTTGCTGCTGTTCCCTTTTCCTGCCTGTTCTTCCAACTTTTGTTCTCTTTTCCATTTGCAAACCAAGCTAACCTTCTAAACTTTTGACTCATACTACATCATAGCCTAAGGGGCTTTTGAATAAGGCACTACATTGAAACATGTAGTGAAAGACAGTTTTTCTTTCCATGTAGTGAATTTTAAAAATTGTTTAATAGTAGTAACAGATTCTACAAAATGTGGTACAGCATTGTCTATTTAGCTATCTGTGACTACAGTAAAGAACTTTGATCCAGAGGTTTGATCATATATGATTAGACAAGCAGTCTAGTTCTGTGCTGTCTCAGGAAAAGAAAATAAAGAGTGCAAACTTCTAGAACATTCACTAATTGATACTGTCTGACTTTAAAGAACTAACATTTGTTGACTATATACTGTGTACCAACTGGGTGCTTTACGTATATTATTGATTTAATTTTCAACTCTACAAGAGTGATTATCTCCCTTTTATACATGTGAAAACTAAAGTAGAATTATTTGTTAACTTATCCATCATCTTCCATCTAGTAATTGGCAGAATAGGATTTTAAATCCAAACCCAAATTGAGTTTAATTTTGTTTATTTTTTCTGTAAAAAATTATAAATAGCACTAAATGTATCCTATTCTAGACCTCCATGCAGTTTAGTCATACCATACTGCCTCCCCCAAAAGTTATTTGGAAAGCATTGATATCTTATTTAGGATCATGATGTGTGACTAGGTCAGATGAACTTAAATGAGGCTTGATCAAAAATCATTTTGCAGTCTTTAGCAAAGCACATTCCATTGCGACTTGTTATAAGTTGTAAATAGTTTCTCAAAGACATGTTTGTTCTATTTTTAAATGGGAGAGCATCTAAGTCAGTTTTTCAACCTGGACTGCAGTTTTGAGACACCAAAAAAATACCAGTACCTGGGCCTCCTCCCCAGAGTATCAGTATTTCTTTAAAAACTCCTTAGGCTCCCAAAGTCCAATGAGGTTGGGTTTTGCTTTTGATTTTTTTGGAAATACTAGAGACTGAACTGGGACCTTGCACAGGCAAAGCACCTGCTTGCAGTACTTCTGAGCTATCCTCCCCCAGCCCAGGATTTCTTAGTTTCAGCTAGATATGTGACTTACTGGTCTTAGAGTTTAAGAAACTATACAACTTAGTCCTAGCAGGAACTTCAGAACTCTTCCCAAGAGAATTTGGCTTACTGGTGTAAATGGACTTGAATAATCATTCATAAAACATTTTCACTTAAGACTGCCATTTGTCTTGACCTAAGGGTCAAAAGTACCCAGAAAGCTTAAGCATATGGCACAGCTAAAGATCTCCATCACCAGAGATTTTGATCTAGTAGGCCTCTTGTGAAGTCTGGGGTACACCTTAGAAAAAACCTCCCCCAGGGAAGAGATTTAAGAAAACTAAAGGGTCTCACATATTTCTAATTTATTGACTATTTTACCAGAATAAATAAGCCAGGGACCACTTATTACTACTAGAAATATGTATATCAGAATCAGTTGTCATGTGTGCAGATATTAGTGCCTGTGGCTCATCTGGATGAAAGATTACAGGTACGACACATATACTACCTCACTGTATTCTGATAAGCTGATTTTAACTCTTTGATCTCATTGTTTCCAGATATACATTTATATTTTCATTTTTATATGTTTCAATTTTTAATTCAGAAAATAGTCTTACCATTATTACTGATTTAATATATATATATGATATATATATATGATGTTAGGCTTTGTGAGGCAGACATTCTTTGTAGTAACTACTCAACCCTGAAATAGTCCTATGTAAGTAACTACATTATAACACAGAAATAGTCATATGTAAGTGAGTGAGCAAAGCTGCATACCAGTAAAACTTTATGTACAAGCTGGGTAAGGTGGTACACACCTGTAGTTCCAGCACTTGAGAGACTAAAGGATCACTGTGAGTTTGAGGCCAGCCTTGGCTACATAGTGATTCTAAGCCCTGTTCTGTGTCACTGTTCAACATTAGTTATCAAGTAGTTTTAGTTATCCATATATTTTAGTTATCCATGCTTTTAGGCTGCTCTGCCAGTGAGCTACACCCCCAGTTTGGGTGTAACTAGAAAAATCAGTCATATACTACTTTTTGTTTCTTTTTACATTTGTTCAAGGCAAGAGAAAATTTTAGTTTATATATTTTTTTAAATTTTAGTTTTAATTAACTATATTAAAAATGAATAATAAATATTTTCCGTTGTAAAATATTTTTACATGGGAAGGCACCTGATGACACCAGATAGAGCTAATATGTTGTATGTTATGAGCCAATGCCAAAGGATACGACGAGAAGACCCAATGAATATAGCTGAGATTCGTCTCTAAGTGAGCCCAGAGCCTCAGAAACATCTCACGTTTATTGAGGGCTAAAGGCAGACTAAGGAATATGCATAACTACTTTGGTGAACACACACTACTATATTGACGTCAGGCGTTTACCTGACACAAAGTTTATACAATGCTAGCCTTTAACATCCCAAGCAAGGGATGAAACAACAAACTGGGTGCCAGCCAGAGAAGCTGTTATCTTCAGCCTTGAATCCCAGCTTGCCGGAATTTACAAGAGAGACAACAGTTCTCCTTGGGCTCTGTTTATTGCTCCTTGTTCCCTCGGGATATTAGGCATTTGTCTCTTATCTATATTTCTATACTAATGAATCATTGATTTCTGTTTCTGTCTTAGTTGATTGACAGGACCAGGATTGTGATTGTCCCTTCTCTAAATCCAGATGGGAGAGAGCGAGCACAAGAGAAAGACTGTACTTCAAAGATAGGACAAACAAATGCCCGTGGCAAAGACCTGGATACAGATTTTACAAGTAAGACTAATTTGGGGGCTGGGGAAATGGCTCAGTGGAATAAACACTTTCCTGGCAAGCAAAAGGGCCTGAGTTCAATCCCCAGTTCTGGGAAAAAAAGGGGAAAAAAAAATAGACTAATTTGTAAACCACTGTAGTACATTAAAGATAATTATCTATCTATCTCTCTGCCAAAAGACTGGTTGATTCTATTTTGTAGATGAGTGATAGAGTTCTTTTATGTCTAGGTTGTGATTGTGAGATATAAATGAATGCAGGTATAAAAAATGTTTGAATTTTTCTTTTTCATTTATAAAAGTAATTCAAGTTGTAAATAGAAATTCAATCAATATCATTGGGGTATTCCATCACTAGTTTGTATAGAGTTATATATTCTCTCTCTGTCTCTCTTCTCTGCCTGTCTGTCTGTCTTTGTCTGTCTGTCTCTTTCTCTCCCCCCGCCATGTATATGTACTCGCACACTGTCTGTCTGTCTATATCTATCAGTGTATGTATCTGTATTTGGAGGAGCCTGTCTCTTATTTACTTCAGTAGAATCATCAGTTGTACATATTATCCTGTATTTTTTTATTGACTATATCATTGTCATTGACTATTCATTTCAGTACATATAGATCACATTTAATGGTATCTTACACCATTAATATGTCAGTGGCAATACTTTATTCAACTATTTTATTGTGAAAATTTTTTCTCACTTTTTTCTTATAAATATTACTGCAGAAAACAATTTTTGTATATCTTATTTCATTTCAAAGATAGATGATATTTCTATACGTTATTTTTTTAAAGCAGGATATTACCATCTTTTCTTTCAGTAAGAATTTTCTTAAACCTGTCTGAGTCACTAAATGTACATTTTGCCAAAGTATGTAAAACCTAGAATAACCCACCTCTAGAATATGTCTTTCTTGCCTGAGACAATGGTTTATGGAAAGATAAGTGTCTCCCAACTGTTAAACTAGTTTTGTTTGTGCATTAGACAATATTTTCTTAGATACTTGTACTAAAATTTAGGACTTGATATTTTACATTTGATTTTTCTGATTTTTTAGATAATGCCTCCCAGCCTGAGACTAAAGCCATCATTGAAAATTTAATTCAAAAACAGGACTTCAGTCTTTCTGTTGCTTTAGATGGTGGTTCTGTGCTGGTCACATACCCATATGACAAGCCAGTGCAGACAGGTATGTAGAATGTCACTTCATATTTATGCTATTTACATGTAGACAGGAAATTCAAAGTAAGTAATGTCTCTTCTCTTTTTTTTTTTTTTTTTTTTGGTGGTACCAGGAATTGAACTCAGGACCTTGCGCTTGCCAGGCAGGCACTTACAATACTGAGCTATATTCCCGGCCCCCTCTTCTCATTTTTTTAATGATGGTCATTTGGATACCTTTCATGAGAAAACAACCAACCTAAGAATACTATATGTTCTATATATCAACAATTCAGACAGTTACTTGAAGAAGTCAAATCTATATCCATGGCTGTTAGAAAATAGCAATTCCATGCTATGTCTAAAGCATTTCATACTCAAACAGGTAGTGATGTTAAGCTCAACTGACTCTGTTACAGGGTAATAATGTCATTAAGCTTCTCTTCTGGAGGGTTATAACAACTAAAGTTTGCAGACCAAATATTAAAAAAAAAAAGAGGGGCTACAAGGATAGCCAATATTTTGGCCCTAGCCCTTCAAGGTCAGTGAGGACTTAGGATATAAGAGAACCTATGCTAAAAAAAAAAAAAAAAAAAAATAGAACCTATGCTGTGACATCCTGTAACTTAATGGTATCCCAAATTTTCTGATCAAGGAGATGATGGGGCCACAGAGGAAAGTGATCAACGATGTATAGTGTGCCTAAGGAAAGACACCTAGAGAGAAAAATTCTCTCAGGCTTTCACAGAGAGCAAATTGGCCAAGTAATGGCCGTGACTCATCCAGATGGCTGACATTGAAAAAGATCTACATGGTGTTATACATGGTTTCAGGGTAAATCCTGAGGGAATTTGACTGACCTTATCAGATACAAAAGTTACATTTTTAGCTATGTAGGTCTTCCTTTAACTTGGTTTTAACCATCCAGCAGAAAAGTTATAACCATGAGGCATAAAAACGCCATATTAATATGCTGAGCTGAAAAGGCTCAAGTCAGCAACTAATAACAATTGCCAGTTCTGCTGATAACCCACTACCATTATGGACTATTGGACTATATTAGGTTATTTTGCTGAATTCAAGTACCTACAATATTTGAACTGGCATCAAGTATGAAAAGGTACTTTAAAGACTTCTCCAAATACTGCTTCTCTAACAACAATAGAACTCCTATCTTTAACAAAACAAAAAAAGGGATATAAATAATGGACCATTTTGTAATGGAAAAAAATATATATATATGTATAAAATAGGATACACAGCTAGTTTCTCTTAGTTGAATGAGAAAAAAGGTTTGTACTAAAATTCTTTAGACAAGATATCATGTCTACATCTTCTTGTCCTCTGAATAACTACTATGAAGACAACAATATGCAATGTATTAATTATTGTAACTGTCCTACTCACCTGTTTTGAAACTGTTTCATTGCTATTTTTTTTTTTTCATTAAAATGAGGGTCTAGTTATCTTTTGAGTCTAGTTATCTTGTCTCGTTTAATTTAGTCCACATTTATTAAGCACTTATTTGGGTAGTCTTGAGAATATAAAAGAATACAGTGTGACACAAAAACTCATATCTAAGCAAATAGTGGCCGTATAAAGTTGCCCTCATGCTTTAAACCCCGACTGAAGTATTGTACCTTGGTGAGTTAAGAACTAGCTTGCTGAACTTCTGTAGAGATAGTCTGTTTTTGTTGTTGTTTTCACTGCAGTTTACAAGGAATTTTGCTATTAGGTACCAAATGAGGTAAAACATACCAAAATAAATGGAATTTTAATGCAATCACCTGTCATATAAACTCACCATTAGTATCTTTGTTTTTGAAGCACTTGGAATGAAGCCCAGGGTCTCTTGCATGCTAGGCAAGCACTTGTCCACTGAGCTACATCCCAGACACCCATTAATGTAAAGAAAACATTTGTCTTCTAAGTCTGGTTATTGTAAGCAAACAAAACTATACAGTTAACTATAATAACTCTTCAAGAAACTTCAGTGGAGGGGGCCCGCCCCTTAGCTCTGTTCTTTAAGTGGCTGCTTCAGCAAAGCAGTCAGGCTCAGGTTGCTGTGGTTCGATCCCCACAACTCAAGCCAGCCAAACCTGCCCTGAAGGCATTCGGAGCAAAAAAAAAAAAGAAACTTCAGTGGAAAAAAAAAGATAGAAAAAAAGGCCAGGGAGATAGCTCAGTGGCATAAGCGCCTCCCTGGCAAGTGTAAGGTCTCAAGTTCTATTCCTGGTACTGCAAAAAAAAAGAAAAAGAAAAAGAAACTTCAGTGGGGTTCAAGAAGATTTAGTAAAAGAAGATAAATTGTATTCATGCTATTGAACTTCAACAAAAATATTTTTGATTTCTATACTGACTTAAGAATTTTTCTTTTTGTAGTGGAAAACAAAGAGACTCTGAAGCACTTGGCATCCCTTTATGCAAATAATCACCCATCAATGCACATGGGTCAGCCCAGTTGCCCAAATAAGTCAGGTAACTGTCTTCCCTGTCCTTTGTTTTTAATTACTGTTATGGTTGCTTGGAGGGAGGGCGTAACTTGCCTGGTGGTCTTACTGATCCTATGTCTCTCTATGCTTTTATAGATGAGAATATTCCAGGAGGAGTAATGCGCGGAGCAGAATGGCACAGTCACCTGGGTAGCATGAAGGTATGTGTGATAGCACAAAATTAGAATGGAATTATGAATGTTAGCTACTCAGTGAAATGATACTTTTCTGATATAGCAAAATGAAGGGTATCTGGCATCTTTCTTGACATGCTCAGACCTTAAACTTACAGTCTTCAATATTAATAGTAAACACTCCCATCCTCTTTCCTCCCTTTCTTGTACTTTCTCTCCTCTATTCTTTTCTCTTTCACCATTTTAACATTTTTAATTATACAACTAAATGATATTTAACTCCCAGTGCTGCCTATCACTGTATCTATTTCTAGAACTTTTTCATTGACCCAAACAGAAATTCTTTACCCACTTAGCAGTAACTCAGTATTTCCTTCTCCTCACACCCCCCCATAAAACGTCTAGTCTACTTTCTATCAGTTTGCTTGTTCTAAATATTTCATATAAATAGACTCATACAATATTTATCCTTTTATATCCTTTTTCACTTAGCATATTTTTAGGCTTCATTCATTTTATAACATGTATCAGTACTGCATTGTTCTTTGTGGCTAAATAGTACCCCATAGTATGTGTGTACCACATTTTGTTAATTTCTGTGTTGGTAGATGTTTTAGTTATTTTTTACTGTTGATGGGACAAATACCCGACACTCAAAATGAAGGAAGGAAAGGTTTATTTAGCTCACAGTGACTGGAGGGTTTAGTCCATATTTCGCTGGCTCCAAGGCAAACAACAGCAGTTCATGCGGCAGAAAACAATGAAGAGCAGAGGAGAAACAGGAGCTGCAGCGGCGTCTATCAAGCCTCTCTCTTCCTTCTGCCTGACTGTGAAGACCGGCGCAGTGAAGATCGGAGCTCCTCCAAAGTGGCGTGGCTGCTGAGATCAAGCTCCTCCGAAGACTGAGACTTCTCCACGGAAGCAGGGCAGGGCGGCAGGAGGCAGGAAGTCTGGCAGGGCGGCAGGAAGGCTTTCTCAATTTCTGGGCCCTGCCCACCTGCAGGGTGAGGCCCCCACGTTGCCGGAGCTGATTCAGCCAAGTTGACACAATGTATCAACTAACACAGTAGACACTTAGGTTGCTTCTACATTTTGTTTGATTTGGTTTGGTTTAAACTCACTGTATCCCAGGCTGACTTCAAATTCATGGTAATCCTGATGCCTCAGCCTCCCGAATGCTGGGATTACAGGCATACACCACCACCACCACATCCAGCATCTACTTTTTAATTATTGCTAATAATCCTGCAGTGAACATGCAAGTATCTGTTTAAGCCTCTATTTTCAGTTATTTTGGATGTAAACTTAGGAGTGGAATTGTGTCCCAGAACCATTTGTTGAAAAGACTGTTCCCCCACTGAATTGTCTTGGTCCCATTGTCAAAAATCAGTGGAGTACTGATGCATGGGTTTATTTCTAGACTCTCATTTCTACTTCATTGTTCTACATGTCTAATTACTATAGGTTTGTAACAAGTTTTGAAATTAAGATATATGAGTCCTTCAATTTGTTGTTTTAGACAGTTTTAGCTATTGAAGATTC